CTAAATCCCCATGCATACTTCTAATCAAAATGCATCGTTCTTGGTAAAATATCTTAAACCAATTAAATGTATTTTATTGTTTCCCAATTATCACTGAATAAACATCCATCCGGATATATGGCTTCTGATGAACATATACTGCATTTTTTTATATGTCTGGGTTTTCATTATACTAGTATTATAGTGGACTGTTTGCATGATATTTCTTTCATTCATTTATTGCGCATTGAGCGTTTATATTTGCCTATATCATTGCTTTTCTGGTAAATGCTTTTGAATAGCATGACTTTGTACCTCTGTGGATAATATTTAAAGAGACAGTCCTATAGTATATACCCATTTAATAAAGATTTTTTCATATATATAAAGATTTATGGATGTGCTCCTTACTCTATTCACCCAGTCTCTCTATGTAGCAGGTTGAGATTTTACATTATCAGCAACGTAACACAATGGGGATAAGGGTAGCTCTTATGCATAGGCAAGGGCTATTCTGCATTAGGTGTATGCTGAATTAAAAAGACCAATTGGTGCTGACATTTGGGGAATCCACATTCCTAAATAGTGTGTGTTTTTCTTCTGATTTTTTATTTCTCAAAGTTCTAATAATGCGTAGCTTGATACTAACACAAACATTTCCAACAGTGAACCAAATCTAGCAAAGTCCATTATTAAAAGGATGAAACAGAAACTATTCGAACATCTACAGTCTCATAGAAGATGCTTTGGTCCTGGTGCTTTTGGCTTGGTTTTCCCCTTTAAACATTATTAAAAGATATTTTTGTCCACCTTTTCCCCCCAATCAGTTGTGATAATTTGTATATATGTACATTAAAGATTTTGACTGTACAAAGTCACCAATAAGCATTGTATATCATAGGCTGTTATACATTGATGTGTGTGTACTGCTCTGCATTGTAATGGTGAATGAAGGTAATTATCGCTGTATTCAATACGACTGTACAGAGCAGGGAATTGTATCATATGAATTCCAACACTACATAAAGATCTGCATGTTAAAACCCATCATTGAGAAGAACCCAGAAACATTTAAAAAGCAGCGCATTGGAACTCTGAGAGAATTGTATAAACATAGTTACAGTTATTGTGTCAATACTTTTTAAAACCAAAACATATGATTTGTAGTGGTACATTCGATATTTAGTCAAATGCTTGCCACAACTTTGATAACAATTTCTACTGTTTTATTTTATTTTTTACACTACTGGAACATGGTGTGATTTTCATTTATTTCTGTAAACCTGTTGTTTTTTTTTTTTGTTTTTTTTTTGTAAATATATTTTTTATTGGATGTTTTAAGTTTGTCAGTATCGAACATGTCATGAAAAAGCTTCGGTAAGGACACGCAGGTCCTATGATGTTTGCGTGCAGGCAAATTGCATTGGTACAAACGTTACTCATGTAGGTATACATTGGAGACACGCAGGTCTCATTTAATCGTAAGAGGCATAAATTAGTTGGACTCGCAGGTCCTATGGCATATACATGGCGTGTGCCCCTACGCTATTTTCAGTTTGGGTACTCAGGTCCCCTCTGTGTGAAGCGTGTACTGTCATTTTAGGATGTGTCGTTTGGTCAGATTTACGTTGAGTTTTTTATGTTCAGTCAGTTAATTGAGGCAGTATGTGTCTTAACATGGTGTATCTTTCGTAGATATATTTTTATTGGCTGTTTCAAGTTTTTCAGTATCGAGCGTGTCATGTGAGCGCTTTAGTATGGACACGGCGGTCCCATTATGTCTGCATGCAATCAATTGCAATAGAACATTTGTTGCCCATGTATATATACATTGGAGACTCGTAGGTCTCATTCAGTCGTAAGAAGTATGAATTAGTTGGACTCGCAGGTCCTATGGCATATATTTGGCATGTGTCTCTAAGCTATTCTCATTTTGGGTACTCAGGTCTTATCTGTGTGAAGCGTTTGCTGTCATTTGGGGGAGCGTCGTTCGGTCAGGTGTATGTTGAGTTTTGTGTGTTCAGTCAGTTAATTGAGGCAGCTTGTGTCTTAGCATGGTGTATCTTGTATGTGAAGATACTTTTGTGTGTGTTGTGTCTATGTGGGTGTGTGTGTCTGCGCATTCCATGAATTGCAAGGCGTTGGGTTTGAGATTTGTATTCCGTCGTGTACTTTTATCTGTGAGAAGTATTTGTGAGTACGTAGTAAGTAAGATGGAGGAGTAGGTCTAGTAGCACGGAGTGTTAGTGTGTGAGGTTTACTTGGGTATCTCCTGTTGTTCAGCTCTAACTTGGGTAGTGATGCATGAGTCGGTATAGTCGGTTTGGGTTTAATGAGATGTCTGTATGATATCATTTTTTTTAATTTTTTTTTTGGGGGGGGTTGGTGAGTTATTGCCAGTATCATATGCTGCTATGTCTTGTGTCCTCATTGGTTGTGTTCATGGGGTGATTGTGTGTTGGCGGTGTGTTGATCGTGTGAGCGTTGTAGTTTTATTGCGTGTAGTGTATGTGGTTTGTTAGGAGTAGGGATGGGTGGAAGTCCCCTTAACTTCCCTCTCCAGCCGCCGCGTCCTCCCCATCACGTCTTGCCACGTATATTATCCAAGGTTGCCACTTGTCAACATGTTTCGTGAGGGTGTATCGTAGGGTCGCGTGCATTTCTTCTGCGAATCTGATCTCTTCTACCCTGTTTAGCCATTGTTCCATTGTGGGGGCGTTTGTCGTTTTCCATAAGGCAGGGATTAGAGCCTTGGCCGCGTCGAGAAGGTGTCGCAGGATGGATCGTTTGTATTTTGAAATCGGGTCTTTGGTGTGATGCAGGAGAATGTTGTCTAGTGATAGGTGCGTCGTGTGTCCTAGTACCTCTTTGATGCGGGACGTAATCTGGTTCCAATACGGTTTAATGTTGGGGCAGTCCCACCATATATGTTTTAGTGTTCCTATGTCTGCTTCACATCTCCAACAGGTTGCCGATGTGTTGGGGAATATTCTGTGGAGCAGGTCTGGGGTTCTGTACCAGAATGTCAGCAGCTTATAGTTCATTTCTTGGTATTTTGAGCTAATCGTGGATTTGTGATGGAGGATGAGAATTTTGTCCCATTGTGCGTCGGTGAACACTGTGCCGGTGATGTTTTCCCATTTTTCCTTATATCGTCGGGTTGTTTGCTGCTCACCTGTGATTAGGTATTGGTATAGCGTCGACGTTGGTTTCTGAGTCGGTGTTTGTTTGTCGCAGATGTCCTCAAACCACGTGAGGGTTCTGTGCACCGCTTGTTTGTTCGGTAGGGTGTGGTAGAAATGCGTCAGCTGGGAGTATCGGAATTTGTGCATGGGAGCTGGCGGCCTTCCATTAGGCATTCCAGGGGGTCAGTCCTGAGGCGGTTAGTGTTTTGTGGAGTGGTATGAAGTCTCTTCCCTCTAGAAAATCCCAGGCCTTGATCGGTAGTCCTCCCCCCACTGCTTGGTTATGTGTTAGCGTGGTCATCGGGCTGGGTATTGGGGAGATGGTCGTTGCGTTCCTTATTGTAGACCATAAGTGGAGGGTGTGACTCGCTGGCGAATTTGTGCCGGGGTCGTGTCTCCGTGGCGTTTTCTGATTCCATAGGGATGCAAAAATAGATGGGCTGCAGGATTCTCTGTCTAAGGCCACCCACTGTTTGCATCTCGGGTTAGTATGCCATTCCAGTATCCGCTGCAAGGCTGTCGCTTGGTGGTATTTGCGTAGGTCTGGGAGTGCCAATCCGCCCTGATTCCTGGTCTTGCATAATAGTTCATATCGTATTCTAGGCCTGCATCCTCTCCAGACATAGGTCAGAAATGCGGTTTTTATTGTCGCGAAAAAGATCGTCGGTAGTGTCACTGGGATTGTATGAAATAAATATAGTAGTCTGGGTAGGATATTCATTTTGATGACCGCTATGCGGCCGAACCATGAGATGTGTGGGTAATTCCAGGTTCGGAGGTCTTGTTGAATGCGTGTGAGAAGTGGGAGGAAGTTTTTCTGATATATGGCATTTGGGTCAGACATCACCCATATCCCCAGGTATTTCATTTGGGTATGGCACCAACGGAACGGGAAGGTCGAGGCTATATCCCTGTGTTCCCCAAGCGGATCTGTGATGTTGAGCAGTTCGCATTTACTCAAGTTAAGTTTGAGGCCCGAGAGGCGTCCGTATTTTTCGAATTCTTCCATTAGGCATGGTAGGGTGAGTCTTGGACGTGTAATGAAGAACAACATGTCATCCGCGTATGCGGCTACTTTATGTGTGGCGGTTGTACAGTTGTAGCCCGAGATATTAATATTTCGTCGGATTGCCTCCAATAGGGGTTCCAATGTTAATGCGAACAGTAGCGGGGACAGGGGACACCCCTGCCTCGTGCCATTGCGAATCGGGAAGGATTCCGTCAAGGCTCCGTTAACGCGCACCGCTGCCGTCGGAGTGCTGTATATCGCTCCGATCCATTTCTGTATGTTGTCATTAAAGCCCAATAGTCGTATCGTCATTTCCAGGAATGCCCAGTCCACTCGATCGAAAGCCTTTTCGGCGTCCGTGGAGAGTAGCAGGAGTGGTGTTCCATGTTGTCTTGCTAAATGTTGTATAGCGAGGACTCTCAGAGTGCTGTCTCGAGCCTCCCGTTCCGGTATGAATCCCGTTTGATCAGGGTGTACGAGTGTTGGCATTAGGTTGCTAAGTCGGGTAGCTAATATTTTGGTGAAGAGTTTTGTGTCCACGTTTAAGAGGGAGATGGGTCTGTAGCTGCTGCAAATTTCCGGGTCCTTGCCTGGTTTTGGGATTACTGTAATTGTGGCCGATAGAGATTCGGCGTGGAATGCATGTCCCTCAGTGATGGCATTGAGCGCCTTTGTAAGTTTGGGGACTAGTATATCTTGGAAGCGTTTGTAGTAGTCCAGTGTAAGTCCGTCGGGTCCGGGTGCGCGGCCTGTCTTCGTCGTTTTAATAGCTGTCTTAACTTCGTCTTCGGTGATCGGGCGGTCGATGTTCTCTGCGTCTTCGGTTGTCACCGTCGTGTGTAGGTGTTCTCTCAGAAAGCATTCCATGCGACCTTGTTTGATTCGCTTGCCTTCTTCGTCGCTTTGTGAGTGTGTACTGTAAAGTGAGGAGTAGTAAGTGAAGAATTCCTTGGCGATTTTCTCCGGGTTTTGGGTAGTAGTGCCGTTGCTTGTTTTTAATTTGTGGACTTGTGAGGGGTGTTGTTGTCCCCTGAGCATGTGTGCGAGGAGTTTGCCTCCTTTGTTTGCGTGGAGGTAGAAGAACCCTTTAGATCTGCGGAGTTGTCTCAGGTGTCTCTTGAGTAGTAGTGCGTGTAGTCTCCTTCTTTCCTCTAATAGTTCCCTGTAGGTATCTTCCACCTGTTGGCGTTTGTGTTGTGTTTCCAGGGAGCGGATCCGGTCCAGGATGGTTGACATAAGTGTGCCCGCCTCTTTTTTCCGTTGTGACGCGATTTGGATGAGCTTGCCCCGGAGTACACTTTTGTGTGCCTCCCATATTGTCATATCTGATACGTCTCCCGTCTCATTCTCGGTGAAATATGTCTGTAGAGTGTCGGTGACTTGGGCCCTTAGTGGAAGGTCGGTTAAGAGGGAGTCGTTGAGTCTCCACGTCGTTTTCGTCGGTCTTATGAGTGGAGATTCGAGGTCTATCGACACTTGTCCGTGATCCGACCATGTTGCAGTGTGTATGGATGCTCTCCTAAGTCTTATTAGTGCTTCTTGTTGCAATAATAAGAAGTCTATCCTGGAATATCTTTTGTGTATTATGGAATAGTGAGTGTATTCTCTGTCTAATGGGTTTAGCGTTCGCCAACAGTCTACCAGGCGCAGTGTTTTCAGAGTATGGTTTATGGTTCTTATTTCTCTCTGTGGAATGCTGCTGTGTCCCGTTGAGGAGTCTACTTTAGGATCTAGTGTGACATTGAAGTCTCCTCCCGTGACCAGGGTTCCTTCCGTGAAGTCTGTTAGTGCCTTTAGTGTGTTCTTAAGGAATCTAGATTGGTTATTATTGGGGACGTAGATTGCCGCGAACGTGTAGCATCGCCCTGCGATATTCCCCTTTACGAAGGCGTATCTGCCGTTGTGGTCTATAAGGTGATCCTGTTCCTGGAATTGTAGACGAGCTGCTATAAGGATCGCGACCCCTGCCTTTTTCGCTGTGGGGTGGTTGCTGAAGTAATTAGTGGGGTATTGTTTGTTTTTGAGTGCCGGGGCCGCTCCCTCCCGAAAGTGAGTTTCTTGGAGAAGAGCGACTGCAACCCTCTCTCTCTGAAGGTCCCTCAGGAGATTAGTTCTGCGTTCTGGGAGATTCAGTCCCCTGCAATTTTGTGTGATGATTTTCATTGGGTCTGGTCTGTATGCCATCTTGCCCGTATCTCCGCGCAGCGGTGTTGTCTTGTCGGGTATCGGGGTCTCTCGTCCGAGTCTCGCTCTCTTGTGTACGTGAGAGTCGACCGAGGAAGCCCGAGCCCGTGGCTTGGTTCCTGGGTTTTGGTGTGATTCGGTGTCCCTGCGTCGTCTGGTGGTTAGCTCGAGGCGGACGCGACGGCCGGGTCAGGAGCGCCGGGGGGGGGGCGTTCGGGTGAGTTGCTGGACTGCGGTCACGTGTAGGGTGTCTGGTGTATGTGGTGTGTTGGTATTTGCTCTTGTGTGGTCTAGGGGAGTCGTCTGCTCAGGCTCAGTGCCTTTCGGTGATGTCAGGCACCGTGTCTGGTTCGTGTGGTGGGGGTGTGTGTTTCTTAATTGGATGTTGGAGAGTAGTATAGATGTGGTGCGCGTGTCGTGATAGTGTGAGGAGGCGATCCTCTCCGCGGAGAGGGAGTTCGTGTGCCTACGGTGTCGGTCGGGGGGGCACCCCGGGTTTTATCCCGGTGGTGTACCAGTCGGCCTCCGTAGTATTAAGCGTGCGCACCGAAAGGGGTGGGTAGCGTGTCTGGGCCCCTATCTGTTTAGGCTGTGGTGCCTGTGTGGTATGTGCGGTGTTGGTTGTGGAGTTGATACTTGAGAAGGGTTGTGTATCGTCGGAAGAATCTGTTATTTGTGTAGTGTATATCCGTTTTGGGGTTGTAGCGTCCGTCCACTGTAGTTGAGGTGTTGTATAGTCATCACTAATGCCATTGATGTGTGTCCATTGTGTTATCAGCACTATGCCTGTTTGTTGCGCCTTTTCGGTGTCGTCGGTATCAGGTGGGGGGAAGTACCGTAAGGGTAATTTGCGTGTAGTCAAAGTGGGGGCTTGGGGATATCTCTTCAGGGTGTGTGCATTGTGGGTCTTCTACTCATTATGTCTGGGTTGTTTCATCTGGGACATGTGGGTATATATATTCTTTTTTTTTTTTCTCCCCCTTCTTTCCCCCCTCCCTCCTCTATGTCCTCTTGTCCCATCCCCCGTACCTTTTGTTCCTCTAGGGGGTGGTGGGATGGTCGTTTGCTTAGTATCTTCTCGACATCAGTGTGTCGTCTGTGTGGGGGAATTGTGAGTGTATGGACCTCTTTGGAGGCGTGTTATCTATGTATGTCGGTCCCTTTGACGTGGGGGGGAGGGGCTTGGTCAGTGACACAGAGTGATGTTGCATAGTCTAGCCATTTAAGATAGGTGACTCACAATAATCGTACTATAAAGAACAATCTCTGGTCTCACAATTACAGATTACATCACTGGGATATCCGGACACAAAAAATTAGTGTTCAGTCTCTGTATACAATTTAGTGTCATACCCTATGAACCTCCTCTCCCCTCCCCCTAAATTAATCTCCCATACAAGAAATAGTAGCAAGTCAGCTATACATTTAGTGTGGAATCAGTTCTTCGTCTTCACGAAAGTCAATGCTGCCGGAGATCTCTAAGGCCCGATCTCTATGCCCCCGGCCCTCCCCCCTGTGATCCCCCTCCCCAATAGGATTCATTCCCCCGCTGTCGTTTTCTTCCCGCCCCTCCCTTTTCATCCCCCCCTTTTTTTTTTTATTTATTTTATTTTTTTTATATATTTTATTTTTTATTTTTTTTTGTTTAGAACCCTCCCGTGTTGTGGAAGACCCATTTGCATGTGAGATATCCCCTAGTCCGGTCAGTCTCGTGGTGAGGCGTGGTGCCCTCCCATGCCAGGGGGGTAGGTAGAGTGTCCCCTCTGTTAGACTCGTGCCAATATGTTAACTACCCTATGTCAGAGTACCTGATTCTTGGGGTGCGGGTTTGCCTCCAGGTGCTTCTCCAACGTGGGTGTCATCTGTCTGTGTTGTCTCGGGGTTGTGGGGTCTGCCGGAGCGGTGTCAGTTGGTCTGGTATTGGGTTATTCCTCTGGGTTGTTTAGGTCTGGTCGGTGTCGCGGAGCTTCACCTTGAGAGTTCCATCTTCTTCGCCTTGCTTGTCGCTGCGGTTGTGGTCTTGAATCCAGTGGCATGAATATCCAGTTCGGAACCGGGGTTGGCGGTAGGTTCAGGCGTTGTAGGAATTGAGGAATGTCTTCTGGCCAGCGGGCGGAGACCCATTCATTATTATACCTAACTGTGATGCTAAATGGGTAACCCCATCTATATTGCATATTCCTCTCCCTCAGGATGGTGGTAACCGGTCTCAGGGCTCTTCTAGCCTCCAGGGTCATTGGTGATAGGTCATTGTAGAGGGATATTTCTGCGCCCCTGTAGTTCCAGTGGGCCCTGGATCTAGCTTTCCTCATGATCATGTCTTTGGTGGCGAAGGAGTGCAGGCAGCATATTATATCCCTGGGGGTTCCCTCCGTGGGCCTGGGGCGGAGTGCTCTATGTGCCCTGTCATATTTAATAATCGCTGGTGTGTCCTCCCTTAGGATGATGCGGAATAGGGAGGTGAGCATCTCTTCTATATTTTCCCCCTCTGGAGATTCAGGTATCCCCCTTACCCTGATATTGTTGCGACGACTGCGGTTGTCCTGGTCTTCTAGCTGTCGCCTCATGGCCAGTATGAGGGTGCCCTGGCGTTTGAGGGCCGTGTCTGTGGCTGTAGAGTGGTCTTCAGTGGTCTGTGCCCTTTTTTCCACCTGCTGTATGCGGTGTTCCTGTGCTTTAATTTCGGCCTTCAGGCCGTTCACTTCAGATTTAATTGCTTCATATATGTTGTTAGTCAGGTGGGTGAGGTCATCTTTTGTGACCATCTTCTTTGCCATGCGTTTCAGTTCTGCTCCTATGTCTGCCAGTGTAGTCGTGTCGGCAGTGGAGCATGTAGATGCTGGCGAGGTCGGCGCCATTTTGGATGTCGGGGAGCTGGGGTCCGGGCCGCATGGCGCGTGGAGGAACTCATCCATCGGCCCCGTTTGCGATCCCGAGACCGAAGGTTTGGGGGTCTGGGGGAGGTCCCCTCTCTTTGTACGACCCATTGGTGGCAGTGCACGCCGGTGAGTAGTGGGGTGCTCCGTTCTGTGTGCTGTTGTGGAGCGGAGCTCAGCGCTTAGGCGGCCATGTTCGTCGGAGCTCAGGCCACGCCCCGTATATATGTATTTTATTCTCTTTGCATAAACAGCATTGCAGGAAAGTTAGCATGACCGTGTGGACTTTAATGCTCGTTGATTGTATAGACTGTCATGCAGTAAAGATGCCGGCAGTGGTTAAATCCCTGCAAATACCACGGACCCTTCAGGTATCTTTCTATTGCTGGGGGCACAATGCACCTAGTCAATTGTCAGACGATGGGGTGAACCTAATGTGCATGTGCTCTAGGCATTCCCCATAGGAAAGCATAAAATCATTGCTTACTTCTGGGCATATTGAAGTCGTGTGGAGGTTGACAGGTAGCACCTCTAGTGGCTGTCTGGTAGACAGCCACTAGTTGACAGGCTTAAAGGACTACTCCACACCCTAAAAGCACTTCAGCTTGCTCAAGTGCTTTATGAGTGAGGAGTACCTTAGTTTAACCCCAGTTTATAAAAGTGATAATTTCTGTGGGAACTCCCCCCGATTGTGAGTGAGGCAGGTACTCTCTACTTGAGTGTGCCTGCCTCCCCATTCCTCACAGATCTCAGACCAGCTCCTTGGCTTAAGCGGTGTGTGCATGTGGGGACCAAGTCAGAGGCTTCTTAATGAGAAGCCTCTGATTCGTTATTTCCCTGTAAAGACACCTAAAGTCTCTCTTCTGGGGAAAAAAGGGGAGGGCTTACAAAGACTGCAGTCATAAGAACTGCGGCTTTTGTACTCTTTTAGACTATACTCCCAATAAATACATACATATAACTATGCATGTATTCATTATGAGTATATCTAAACTGAACTTTTAGTTTATTATTTTTTTTATTCTTTATTTTTGGGTGCATGAGAGAATAACAATAACATCGTTTTGGTAATTTTGCATACAATGCACAATTTTTGTTAAGGAAAAAGGTGATATGACTTGTAGGTAACATACACATGCAGGTTTTGCAAGAATCACCGGTACATAAAATAAACAGGCTAAGGTACGCTATTCTGTACGTTTGGGGTGCTGCCAACTCTGTTGCTGTTTTTGTAGGCTGGCTGGGGCGCTCTGTAACCCTGAGCTTGGGGGGGTGGGTGGAGGGTGTTTATAGATCGGGCAGCGCTGTGGTAATGATGTACCCTCCAAACTGCCTTCATTGGAAATTGGGTGTTCTTATTGGGGAGTAAACCAGAGTAAGGGGGGGGGGGGTTACGACACGTTACCTCTCTAAGGACTTGGATTATGATGTGGGGGTAGCATGGGGTGGTTTGCTGTTATTTGTATTACCCTTATAAAAAATCGTAGGCTCGAAGTGTGGGGACAATTCACAGGCTACCGCCCCGCTATGTGTGGACTGTGTTGGTTGTGATGTGTTTCAATAAGTGGGGAAAATGTCAACTGCCCCTCCACATGGCTCAGAGCAGGCCTTCTATCTTACTTGTCTTACTTTACATTACTTGTTTTCCTCTGCCATGGCAATACCAAACCGTGTGACCAATAAGGTCCGAATGCCGCATAAGTACCCTTGGTTTACCGTTCCCGCGGTATTGTATGTGTTGTCATGTATAAGTAAGTTAAATTCAACTAAATTCAAACTAGGTAAATTAAATTCAACTGATACAGGTACACTTCCAGATTGGGACATATTTGTAAAGTGAGGCAAACAAATATCTACAGTACAATGTGACATTTTGCAGTTTAGGAGGTGTAAGGTACTATTAAGGGACAAGTCCTTCAATTTTTCATACTGATGAGTGTCCTTGAAGACCATCGGAAACAGTCACTAGGCTACCACTGCAAGCGCCATGGGATCGGTACTAGCGACACAAGGATTCGTATTTTGCTTTGGCTTTCGCCACGGTAAGCGCTTATATATGAGCAGGTGTGTTTGTTCCCATTTGTAGGTGGAGGCACCTTGTTGCTGAGCACTGAACTTTAGAACCTCAAACTTAACACATTGTTCCCGGTGAGGGAGGGGCAGGGCAGGCTTTTGAATAAGGTTGAACGAGTTCAGTTCCTCAGGTACTTGGTCTGTGCTGTTCCTTCCTCCCTGGGTTACTGGAGGTTGAATTTGCCCCGGAGGGGGCCTGGCCTGTCTTGTGGGTTCCAGATGGTTGGAACGGTATGAGCCTATCTATGTCCCAATTATGTGGTGCTCTCCGCCCCCTGTACCTGCGCCCTCTGTTCCAGAAGGCTCTTTAGGCCCAAGGCCTGGAGCGCTGCGTCCGATTCTGAGACTGTGGTAAGTCGTAAGCTCTTCTCTCCTTGCGATATGAACAGGTTCCTGGGGAAGCCCCAACGGTATGAGATTGAGTGGGTGCGTAGTGTCGAGGTCAGAGGTTTAAACTGGCTTCTCCATAACAGTGTAGGTCTGGATAGATCCTGAAAGAATACGAGGTGAGTATTTTTGAAGGAATAAGCGGGCTGTCCCCTCACTGCCGCCATTATTTGTAGTTGCGCTGATCTTGTCTGGAACTGGACGATAACGTCCCTTGGGGAGTCCGCTGGTGCCCTCGTAGCTTTAGGTATGCGGAATATCCCATCCACCAGAACTTGTTTGCTCTGCCTGGGGTTTAGTATGGTGCTCAGCAGCCTCCTGGCATAATGGGGCAGCTCCCCGGACGTGATTGACTCAGGAATGCCCCTGATCTTAATATTTCTGCACCTGTGCTTGTCTTCCATAGTGTCCATTCGAGTGATAAGTTGTGCTTGGGCTTTTTTGGAGCTTTGCTGTCAGGGTCTCTGTTGTTTGGCATCTGGAGGAGAGTCCCTGTGCATCTATTTCGACTGCAGTAACACGTCCCTCCATTTTGTGCATGTCTTCTCGCACTATGGCGATGTCTGCCGCAAATAGCCCTCGGATGTTGCGGAGGAGCGCCTTAATGTCGGCCTTGGTAGCTGGCAATTCATTATCTTCATCGGAGGATGTGTAATGGAGCCCCCCTGCAGCTGGAATCTCCTCCATAGCCCGTTCTTCGGAGGAGGCTGAAAGCGAGTCGCCATTTTCTTTAGGTGCGGCCGTGCCCTAGGCCCTGGAAGGCCGGAGTAGGATATCACCAATGTCCTGTGATCCCACTGGTTTGACGGGTCCCTGCGTCTGGACTTCTTCCCCATACTGGCAATGCATTTTTTGCTGCAAAACTAGCGATTTTA